CCATGCATCCATACACCCATCCATCCATCCATCCATCCATCCACCCACCCATCCACCCATCCATCCATCCATCCACCCATCCATCCATCCATCCATCCATCTACCCATCCATCCATCCACCCATCCATCCACCCATCCATCCATGCATCCATCCACCCATCCATCCATCCATGCATCCATCCACCCATCGATCCATGCATCCATCCATCCATCCATCCACCCATCCATCCATCCATCCATCCCTCCATCAACCCATCCATCCACTCATCCATCCATCCATCCATCCATCCACTCTTCTTTGTTATTGGGGGTGGGAGTAAGGAAGGGGGGCAGGCTCTCTTGGTTCTTGAACTCAGCACCCTGGGTTTTCTGGACCCCTGAGTGACCCTGAGCCCTAGAGACCAAGATGGCCCCACTTCCAGTTTGCTGGTGGAGCTCAGAGTTTCCTCATGGAGTTTCCTGTCCCTAGGGTGGGACCTTAGGCCCCTGGGAGCCATAGAGACACCAAGATTGTGCCACTTCCGGTTTCCTGGTGGTTTCCTTGGAGACCAGGCACCTGACTTCCTCTTCCTCTTCCTCTTCCTCCTATGACGCTTATTGGTATTATTATTACTATTGTTGTTGTTGTTGTTACTGTTATTGCTGTTGTTACTATTGTTATTACTATCATTGTTATTACTATTGTTATTACTGTTACTGTTACTGTTATTGCTATTGTTATTACTATTAATACTATTGTTATTAATATTGTTACTATTGTTATTACTATTTTTATTACTGTTACTGTTATTGTTGTTACTATTGTTATTACTCCTATTGTTGTGGTTATGACCATAGTTCCTACTCCTATGTCTATATTGTTGTTACGATTATTGCCATTATTGTTATTATTACTCTCAGTTTTACTATTATTACTCTTGGTATTGTTATTACTGTTATTGTTACTATTATTACTTCTATTATTGTTATTGGCATTGCTATAGTTATTGCTGTTATTAGTATTGCTATTGTTGTTTTTGATACTATTGTTACTATTATTATTACTATTGTTATTAGTGTTATCATTACTTTGTTATTACTGTTATTTCATTATTACCATTGTTATTGTTGCTATTACTGTTGTCACTATTGTTACTATTGTTATTATTACTGTTATTGTTGTTACTATTATTATTGTTATCACTGTTATTATTGTTATAGTTGTTATTGTTACCAATATTAGTACTATTATTACTATTGTTATTACTGTTGTTATTACTATTATTTGTATTATTGATATTATTATTGTTGTTACTATTATTACTATTGTGGTTTTTGCTATTGTCATTACTATTATTACTCTTAACATTGCTATTGATATTACTGTTATTTCTATTATTGCTATTGTTCTTGTTACTATTACTGTTATTGTTTTATTACTGTTATTACTGTTGTTATTGTTGTTGTTACTGTTATTGTTACTTGTTACTATTGTTGTTATCACTATTGTTCTTACTATTATTATTGCTATTGTTATTACTGTTGTTTTTACTGTTATTTCTAATATTACTAT